CTGACTAGGAAGGAAGAGAAGACCCTGAGATATATACAGTGTGACAAGCCAGGAGGCTATGCTTCTCCAGTAACCGTCCTATGAACGGCAGTCGCCTGTGGCTGTGACATTACCACACTTTGCTCAGCTTCAGAAAGGGAAATTTAACTGACGACTGCTATGAACTGAAGCCACAGCCTAAACCAGATAATACACCCTGACAACACTGTCAGGCAAAAAAGGCTGTGTTCCCATTGATTTCAGCACATTAGAGACATATTACCCTGAGCAGTGTGTGTTCCAGGGTATATTGTGCACACTGTGGGAATATCAAAGAAAATGCACACTGATTTAGGCAGAAGCAGGCCTAAAAGAGAAGGATCTCCGATTGGCCTGCCAGGAACATGCAGCATTTGGCAAAGTGGAGAAGGCAATACTATTGACAGTAATTAAAACTTGGTTCTCCATCTGTATCAACTGTTACCTGCTGGGTTTATTTGAGAGAGGAAACTAGTTCAAATATAACAAGAACAAAACTGAACCTTTCCTTCTCTTTTCTTACAGAAAGATAGCAGAAGACAGGATGTGTGAAAATTATTTGAATTAACCCAATGTTGACTAAGTTTTATACCTCATTCAATTTGGAGATATAAAACCCTCTAGAACTTTCTCTTCTTTAACTATCATGTATGAGCACCTTTTACAAAACAATGTTGCCACACGTCCAGTCAAATAAATCAACATTCCTATTATAGTCAACTAATCTGGCAAAATCTGAACTTCACTGTGTAATGTGAAGGCAAAAAGAATTGAAGAGGAGAATTTTCTAATTTATATATTTTAAAATTATAGAAATATCTCATAATTTTTAATTTGGTGTTTTTAATAGTTTGTGTGTGTCCTGTTTGAATCAGAAGGTCATATAAGGAAGAACTGCTCTAGAAAGAATATGTCTTTACTTCTCATAAACTCAAAAACTAAATTCTAAGATCATCTTGAGGGATACCTGAGTGGCTCAGCGGTTGAGCATCTGCCTTCGACTCAGGGTGTGATCCCAGGATCCAGGATCAAGTCCTGCATTGGGTTCTCTGTGAGGAGCCTGCTTCTCCTTCTGCCTATGTCTCTGCCTCTCTCTTTCTCTCTCCATGTCTGTCTCTCATGAATAAATAAATCTTGAAAAAAGTAAAATTAAAAAAAATTATCTTGAAACTCAAGCTCAAAAAACTATTTTATTAACATTTCCAATAAGTGTTAAATAATCTCAAATTCAGACTCCCTAGCTATTCTTTAATTACATCTTTTTATTTTAAAATCTTCTGAAGTATGACTCTCAGGATCAGTTATCTCTATCATAACTCTGATCCTAGCACTTTATACTTCTGAAACCTTTCATTCCTTTGTAGACAATGTTTTGGACTTCTGTGACTCATTTTTTTTTTAACTGTAACCTACTGACGTGGGTAGGTAATCAACATCCTTAATTAGTCTTAGTACTATTCAACAATGGACACTTTCATTCAAATGATCTATATGATAAATTAAAGATTCACTGTTATCATTGGTTACATGGGACACCTGGGTGGCTCAATTGGTTAAGCATCCAATTCTTGACTTTGGCTCAGGTCATGATCTCAGGGTAGTGAGATCCAGCCCACACAGGGCTCAGCACTGAGCATGGAACTGTCTCCTGCTTAAAATTCTGTCTCTCTACCCCTCCCTACTCTCCTTCCCACTTTCTCACTCTCTCTCTTAAAAACACATATATATAAAACTATATATAAATATATATTAAAAAACTATTTTATATAAAACTATATATAAATATATAAAAACTATATATATAGTTTTATATATGTTTTATATATAGTTATATTTATATATTTACATTTATGTATAATATGATTCTATGTAAATATATACAGTTATATGGATATTTATATATAAATATATAATATAGTCATATTTATATATAGATATATCAAATGTGTGAATATCTAGGGAAAAAAACACCAAAAAAAGCTGCTCACACCTTTCTAAAACAAGGGCTAACTCTTGATCAGGAGGGTGATTTGTTATTCAAAAACCTCAGTTTTGATGCCATAATTTTTTAATTAATTTTTTTAATTTAATTTTTTAATTAGAATAATAAGCTAGTAGTTTGGGAAGAGAGAGGAAGTGGTGAAAAGAAAAATTCAAATGTACTTAAGTAAATTCAAATCAGGTTCCTCCACCATCAAAGAATGATGTCAATATAGGAAAACAAGATGACCACCCTCTCCTGCGTGTCTTCTTTTCAATATTTTAATTAACAATATATTTGAACTTATCTTGATACCTTTTATACTATGTTTTTCTGCTGCTTTCCTCCCTCCACATTTTCTTTTTATAGTTAGATTGACACATTTTTCTTTCTTTATAAGTTATAATTTTCCTCCTTTATAAGTTGTGAGAGTTACCATTCCATTTTGAGCAAATTCATTAAAGTATTATCAACATCAAGGTAATGCCTGTAAACTTGCTCTTCTGCATACCCAAGTATGTCAATAGCTGCCCAAATCTGGCTCAAACACCTTCCAGAAATAGATTTCGGGTCTTATTTTCTGGTTTAACTTTTAATTTGGGGATTAATGTGTTGGCACAGGGAAAGGCACACTCTGTGTATGTATGTGGGTATATAGTTATTTTGGGTTAGTAAAATATATCCTCAGTAATCTTTGTAGAAAAAAATTTGCAAATGATGAACTTCCTAACTTCTCCAATAACCAAAAATGTCTTTTTTTTTTTTTTTTTTACTTTCAAAGTTGAACGCAATTTTAACTGGGTATAGGATTCTAGGTTTAAAATACTTTTCCTGCAGAATTTTCAAAATAGTGCAATTTACTTCTAGTATCTCAAGTGCCCATTAATAAATCAGTTGTTAAACTCATTCTTATTTCTTGTTCCTTTGTGGATGACCTTTTTCTTCTCTAAGGGAGCCATTGTAATTATTCATCCAAATTTTTAGAATTGAGTGAAAGAGTTTCCTGTTACAAATTATGCTTAATGCATTGGGTTAAATGTTAAGTATCTCTTTGGAAATAATTTATAAGTTCGGTAAGTATTTATATGTACATATTTATATGTACATATTGTCTCACACTATCGAACAAGATAAATATAGCTCCACACTGGTTATGCTCATAATTTCCTAGGAAAATTGCAGACATTAAATTACTGACAGACAGTAAATTTGCAAGTCTATATATAATTACACTTTTGATAAGAGCTACAAAGGAAAGTAATGATGAGTATATGGTATAGGCAGGAAAGGGTGGGGATCAGGGTCAAGTCAAGTCAGAGAAAACTTCCTCAAAGAAATAGTATGTAATGCTGCAACTAAAATGTGAGCAGTCAGGTAGGTAGTTAAGGGTACAAAAAAGAGAAACTGAGACCTATATCATTTAACCTTGCAATGTAATGAAATGACGTAAGTTTTTAAAGATTTATTTATTTATTTGAGAGAAAAAGAGAGAGGCACGAATTGCGGGAAGGGGCAGAAGGAGAGAATCTCATGTAGACTCATGCTGAACATGAAGTCTGATGTGGGCTCTATCTCACCACCCTAAGATCATGACCTAAGCCGAAATCAAGACACTTACCAACTAAGCCACCCAGGTGTCTCTTGAAATGATATAATTAAATGAGAAACTAGACAAAATCATAATCCTTGTAAAAATCACCATTTTTTCAAGTTATTATTTAAAATACCCTTTATATGCTAAAATTCCACAAATAGTTTTATACTAAGGTCTCTTCTATAGGATGACACCAGCAAGTTGAAAAATAGATGATCTGGTGCTATGAACCAACATGACTGCTAAATCATAACACAGCACAGGGGGCAACTGGGTGGCTCAGTCATTTAGGTGTCCAACTCTTGACTTTAGCTCAGGTCATGATCTCAGGGTTGTGAGATCGAGCTCCACAATGGCTTCCACACTTAGTAGGGAGCCTGCTTAGGATTCTGTCTCTCTGTCTCCCTCTGTCCTTCCCCCCACTCCACCCCTTTTCTTTATCACTCTAAAAAAATAAATAAATACATAAAAATAACACAGCAGAGTGGATTTGATGGTTTGTGCCCTATAAAACAACTTCTCAAGCCACAAAGGACCTATTGCTGAACACCTTATGTGACAGCCTCAGGGAGGTAACAGTATCAACGTTCATTTCCTACTTGTTAGACTGGCAAATTTAAGGCATGACTCACTTCTCAATACAAAAATACTTTTTGAAAAAAAGATTAATGAAGAAAGAGCAAGAGCAAGACCTTAGCTACTCTACAGCCTAAAGTTGGGGGATTTGAACACATAATTTTGCTAGAATTTATTTGATTCTACAAATCAAAAACTTGGATCTGGGGAGTTAGAATCCTTTCTATCATAAAGTTTACTAATGTTTTCTTTTTCCTGTACTGTGAAGGCACACTCCTAGAGATAGAATCACACAGTGTTGGAAAACTAGGACAGTGGGTAATATAATGAGGGGACTTTTTGGGAGTGTGATCTCAGAATCTCCTGAGCAAATCGATACACTAATCAAATGTCACAGTTTAAATAAGATGCAGTGGCAACAGCATGAGGTCAGAGAGTCAATTATTTCCTTTATGCCATCCCCAGACTTTCTCTGTATAGTATATTCAAACAGGTCACAGAGTGGGGACCTGCTCCTTAACTAGATATAAACAGAGGAGTCAAGAATCAAAAATCAATTTTGTCACCAGCGAAGTGATGACAAAAACCCTGTAACTATGATAGAATTAATCTGGTATTATTGTTATTCAGCCTATACCAGCAATTCTTAAAGTTTCTAGAATGTCACATAATTTTAAAATATTAAATAATCATAATAATTGGTGCCCCGTTGAAAAACAATTTTCCCTTCTCCTTTTAATAAGGTTGAAAAGTGGTAGGAGCAATCCCTTCAATTTGTTCCATCTGTTATATTCATGTGACTGTGTTTTTTTATTCCTTTTTTTTCCACAGATCAACAAGATAAATCTAACTGCCTTGCTGCAAAAAAGGATGAAAGGGGCTCCACTGTGAACTGAAGTTTGAGTTGAGATGCCTTATACTGGCTGATGTTCTGAAATTAGCATGAAACAGCACCAGAGGAAACAGAGGGATTCTTCAGTGTTGTACAAAGGACCCTGTGAACTTTCCAAATGCCTGAGATCTCATTACTGACAACATTTTTTTGCCCTCCAAGTTTTCACGTGGTGACCTTATGGCTTCCATAGGAGCGCAGATGCAGATTTCCTCTCCAGTGAAATGGCACGAACAGAGTGAAAAACACAGTCTTTAAGAAGACAAGCTGTGCGCCACCGACATAATTAGGAAAGCTGCTTGGGAGGCAAGCAGTGGACATCTAATGAGCTAGAGAGGATAAGGTGGGAAATGAGAGTGTGGCTATGTAGTGGAGGCACTGTTTGAGTTTTCCTTTAGGTGGGCTGAAAAACAAAATATTAAGCCTGCGGAAGCCCTTCCAGAGTTTGGGGATTCAAAGCTCTAAGGATACTCATGCCACTGTATAAAGAGAAGAGAGAGAGACAAGAGAGTGTTCTGCCTTTAGTGACTGTGGCTGATGACTACTCTTTGACCCAAATCCACTTTGAAAGGCAACATCAATGCCAGCAGGAAAAAGTCACAGAAAATGTTTTTAATGATTTCAATCTAGAAACAGGATTTTAAGTAGGCCATGTGACATATTCTGACAAAAGTGCAAGGAAGATTTTAAGTACAAGTAATCTGACTTTAAGGGTAACCACTACAAAACAAAGGACTCTTTGTCATTGTATTTTAGAGCCCCTTAAAAAATGCATGAACCCTGAGTAGCTGTGTGACTTTAGACAAGTTGCCAAACTTCTCTGACCCTCCAGTATCCTTTTTTTTGACCCTCCAGTTTCTGATCTACATAAAGACAAAAATAGTAGTCTTTATTTCAAAGATAAATTCTGTGAGAATTAACTAAAATAGTCCATAAAAACACTGAAGAGCACCATCCCATAAAAATGAGTGTTAGCTATTTTTGTCATTGTTATCAGAAATGATGAGGATCTTAACACAGTGGGAGCAGCAATAGAGGGAAACATGATGACATTTGAGAAATATCTAGATAGTAAAATCAGGAAATCTGGAGATTCATTGACTATGTGTGTAACAGAAAGAAGTTATCTAGGATAATTCCCAGAATTTAATATGGACAGTTGTGTGGATGAAAGGTAATCATTTGAAATTGAGAGGACCAAAGAGGATGAATGTTGAATGGAGAGGATGATGAAGAAGACTAGTTAGGGAATCATGAAGTTCTCATTGATTATTCCAGGACAGGACAACAAAGTGTTTGGTCTTAGAAGACAAAGAACTCTTAAAGGAGACTAAAATAAATTGGTACCAGAAGCATGTGGAAAATCCAGTGTGTTTAGTGAAATGGAAACAAAGGATTAGAAAGGGTCAAAGAGACAATGATTTAACCAAAGAAAGGAAGAAAAATAGTGCAGAGAGAGAACAGTACACATAGAAGCCTAGAGGGCAGAAAAGGGTTTAGTGACTAAAAACAGGGCAAGACAGAGGAAATAATATAAAATAGGACTAAAAATGAAGTCAAGAAGCCGGTAATATTTTGGATTTTACTTGAAGGCAATAGGAGACCATTGAATAACCTCATGCAGGGGCATGCTCTAATCAAATTTTATCATTAGGAAGACAAAAAGGAAAAAAAGTTATGGATAATAGGTCAGAGAGGAACAAGCCTGGAGTCAGAATGACCATTTGGGAAGCAATTACAAGAATGGAGTGGGGAGCAGGGGGATGTAGATAGGATGAGGTTGTGATTCTAGGGTAGTTAAGGGAATAGACTCAAGACATTTGGAAAGTTAATAATACAAAGAAGGTAAGGATGAAAACCTGATTTAAGACCATACATCTAGGTAGATAATAATGAGCAGAGGGAAAGAAATAGATTTGTTGGGAAGATAAATAGCCCCATTTTAGGTTTACTATGATTTTTCATTTTCTTTAGACATTGGATAGGAGATGTTGGGAGATGCCTTCACAGATATTTGTCTCAGGAGAGAAAACTATATTGGAAATACAGATCTGAGAGCCATTAGCCCATGAATTATACTTGGTTTGCAGAAGAAAGTGAAAGGGCAAAAAAGAAAGTAGCCCAGGAAAGAACTTGAAGAGCAAGCATTAATATAAGAGGACAAGAGGAGGCTCCTGAAAGTAGACTATGAAAGAATGACCATCAATACAGGAGCAACTCGAATAGATCATTTCACCATAACATTGAAAAAGGAACATCTCTGGAAGAAAGTGACTGGGTTATTAGTAGGAGAAAATAATTCAAAAAAGTCAAGCAAGATGAGTACTCAGGACTATCTATGGAACCTAAACACAAAATCATCAGAACCCTTGGGAAGAGAGAACTAATGAAGGTGAGGAAGGATTGTAACTTGGCCTGTGGTAATATTACATCTTCCATTCAAAATCTGGGTGATGAGGCTGGCAACAATTTTAGATAGTGACCTCTCTTCAATAAGACCCCCTAACCGGGAACCCTGGGTGGCGCAGCGGTTTAGCGCCTGCCTTTGGCCCAGGGCGCGATCCTGGAGACCCGGGATCGAATCCCACGTCGGGCTCCTGGTGCATGGAGCCTGCTTCTCCCTCTGCCTATGTCTCTGCCTCTCTCTCTCTCTCTCACTGTGTGACTATCATAAATAAATAAAAAAAGATTTTAAAAAAGACCTCTTAACCTAGAATGGGTCTTAAAAGATGAGGAAGTCAGGGCAATTTACACGTTCAATGCAATCCCTATCAAAATACCATGGACTTTCTTCAGAGACTTAGAACAAATTATTTTAAGATTTGTGTGGAATCAGAAAAGACCCCGAATAGCCAGGGGAATTTTAAAAAAGAAAACCATATCTGGGGGCATCACAATGCCAGATTTCAGGTTGTACTACAAAGCTGTGGTCACCAAGACAGTGTGGTACTGGCACAAAAACAGACACATAGATCAATGGAACAGAATAGAGAACCCAGAAGTGGACCCTGAACTTTATGGTCAACTAATATTCGACAAAGGAGGAAAGATGATCCACTGGAAAAAAGACAGTCTCTTCAATAAATGGTGCTGGGAAAATTGGACATCCACATGCAGAAGAATGAAACTAGACCACTCTCTTGCACCATACACAAAGATAAACTCAAAATGGATGAAAGATCTAAATGTGAGACAAGATTCCATCAAAATCCTAGAGGAGAACACAGGCAACACCCTTTTTGAACTTGGCCACAGTAACTTCTTGCAAGATACATCCACAAAAGCAAAAGAAACAAAAGCAAAAATGAACTATTGGGACTTCATCAAGATAAGAAGCTTTTGCACAGCAAAGGATACAGTCAACAAAACTCAAAGACAACCTACAGAATGGGAGAAGATATTTGCAAATAACATATCAGATAAAGGGCTAGTTTCCAAAATCTATAAAGAACTTATTAAACTCAACACCAAAGAAACAAACAATCCAATCATGAAATGGGCAAAAGACATGAAGAGAAATCTCACAGAGGAAGACATAGACATGGCCAACATGCACATGAGAAAATGCTCTGCATCACTTGCCATCAGGGAAATACAAATCAAAACCACAATGAGATACCACCTCACACCAGTGAGAATGGGGAAAATTAACAAGGCAGGAAACAACAAATGTTGGAGAGGATGCGGAGAAAAGGGAACCCTCTTACACTGTTGGTGGGAATGTGAACTGGTGCAGCCACTCTGGAAAACTGTGTGGAGGTTCCTCAAAGAGTTAAAAATAGACCTGCCCTACGACCCAGCAATTGCACTGTTAGGGATTTAGCCCAAAGATTCAGATGCAATGAAACGCCAGGACACCTGCACCCCGATGTTTCTAGCAGCCATGTCCACAATAGCCAAACTGTGGAAGGAGCCTCGGTGCCCATCGAAAGATGAATGGATAAAGAAGATGTGGTTTATGTATACAATGGAATATTACTCAGCCATTAGAAACGACAAATACCCACCATTTGCTTCAACGTGGATGGAACTGGAGGGTATTGTACTGAGTGAAGTAAGTCAACCGGAGAAGGACAAACAGTGTATGTTCTCATTCATTTGGGGAATATGAATAATAGTGAAAGGGAATATAAGGGAAGGGAGAAGAAATGTGTGGGAAATATCAGAAAGGGAGACAGAACATAAAGACTCCTAACTCTGGGAAATGAACTAGGGGTGGTGGAAGGGGAGGAGGGCGGGGGCGGGGGTGGGGGTGAATGGGTGACGGGCACTCAGGGGGACACTTGACGGGATGAGCACTGGGTGTTATTCTGTATGTTGGTAAATTGAACACCAATAAAAATTAATTTATTAAAAAATAAATAAATAAAAGATGAGGAAGTAAGTGATCTAAAGAAACAGGAATATAAAGTGAAAAGATATCAAGGAAAGGGAGCAGAATGAGAAAGTCACTTCACAAAGATTCTGAGAGGTACATTCTTATGTTTTTGTATTGTGATCTCTGTGGATACTGTTCCTTGAACATGAATGCACCTCTCCTCATACTTTTAGCCATCAGTTTGTTTCTACTTGAACTATCTTCGTATTTCTCATAGCTTCTCTTAGTCTTATTCCAACTGAAATAGATGTCCTTTCAAATAACAATAATAGTAGCTAACATTTATATGCTTATTATATGTCAGCAAGGCTCTATGTGCTTTATAGGTATTAACTCATAGCCAGTTAAGGTAGATACTAGAATAAATGTGAAAACGGTGGTATAAAGAATTTAAGAATTTAAGCTTATCAAGTGGAGGATCTGGAATCAAACACAGGGTCTCTGGCTCTAGACTGTGTTCACAACCATTACAGTTAGTGCCTGCTCTACAGAAATCATCATAAAGATAAATATATTTATCAGCAATTCTACTTGACATTTTTTATTAGTCATTGAAACTGACACATTAACAAGTGCTTGACCGTTCTACCCTAACTTTGGCTCATCTGATTGATTTATGAGCCTGTATTGTAGATTAGCTCAGACCTGAACAAACCAGGAAGAATGTTTGTGACTGTGCAGAAGGGAGCAAGATGAATGACAGTAACCTCTGCAATAACACACACCAAGTTCTCCTCCCCATTCATCATGCTTACATTGCCAGTTTTTGCATACGTCCCATGAAGAGACATGATTCTTGAATGTGCGTGCTTATACAAGAAGACACCCTTCTTTTCCCTATATCCATTCAGCATATTCCATTCTACCTATATATCCCATAACATCCTTATCCTTAAATACACCCAACCTCAACTCTTCAGAGAGATAGATTCATGGCCTGCCCTCCAGCCTCTTGTTTGGCTGTCTCAAGTAAACTCTTTCCTTACTACTTACCTGATGTCTCAGTGATTGCCATTACTGTGCATTGGGCATACAAACTTGAATTCAGTTACGTTATTTTCATTCTGTATATGATACAACAGATATTTTTCCTCTTCAACTAAATTGTGAGCTCCTTAAAGGAAAAAAACGTAGTGAGCATTTGTTGGGTTTTGATTATCCGGCATCCAATCATTTTCTTCTGGTAGAAGGATCCAAAGTTTCTTTAAGGAAAATATCTCATTCACTCTCCACACATTTCCACTTCTTCACTACATGACCCAATGTATATCAGTGAGTACACCAAATCTCTTGAAACACTCATTTAGGAGTAGATGCCAAGTTAGTCCAGAATGAATCCTAGAATGTGTGGGAAAACCTTCCACAGAGATATTGCCTTACCTACTGGACTTAACCTTGACCTGCAAGCACAGCCACTACCACCATGAGTCTCTTCAACAACCCCAAGAGCGAGAGGACCCCAGAGGAGCTGCAGAAGTGGGAGGAGGAAGAATTAAACACGGGTAATTTTTCTGTGCTCACGCAGTCAGTCAAGAACAACACCCAGGTTCCAATCAACTGTCACAACAACTAAAAGCTCCTGGGCTACGTCAAGGCCTTCAACAGGCACTGCAACATGGTGCTACAGAATGTGAAAGAGATGTGGACCAACGTCTCCAAGAGTGGCTAGGGCAAGAAGTCCAAGCCAGCTAACAAGGACTACTACATCTCCAAGATGTTCCTGCACGGGGACTCGGTCATCATGGTCCTACGGAACCCACTCATTACTAGCTAGTAGCGGCCTCCTTCCCGCAGAATTTGCTCCCTCCTCTTGCGAAGACCTGTCCTTTGTATTGGGAGTAATAAAGTCCTGGGTGTTTTTCTAGTGGGAAAAAAAAAGTGATATGAGCCTTGAAGCCTTGAAGCTCTCAAAGGAACTACATGGAGCTTCAGAACAAAACAAAAAAGGATAATCTGAGAGAAATATGGGGGAAGAAAAATAATTTTTCCTCTACCTTTGTAACTTCTTAACTGATAGCCCCCTATAATAAAAGGAGAAAAACAGAGGATTCATAACACATATACCTCCTTTATACATGGGAAAGACCCAAGGAACCTGAGTTACTCCCCTACATGGCCTAAGCCATCACCTTAAACACCATCTCCAGCTAAAGACAAAGACGGTATTTGGGGGGTGGATAACCATTTATGGAAGCTTTCGAATAAAGCATAGTAAAAGAAGGTAAGGTTGTTACGCAGATTTAAGTCTCTGCCTACTCCACTGATAAAAGGTTCTAGAGATTGTGAGTCATCCTTCTCTTGGTACAGAAAGGAACGCTTACAAATGAAGATCTTCCTTATAAATGTAAATGCCTCTTACAAAAGGGTAACTTTTGCTTCTTTTTCACTGCTTTTCCTTTGGGTGCTGTTTCTTATATATGACTAGCTCAATGTCAACTACACCTCAATTTAAAAAATAATAAAAAATCAGAATAACAACCAGCTCAAGATGATCGTTATAACAAAGAGATATATTTTGGGGTGGCAAATTGTGCTCCCCTTCAGAAGCAAGAAGTATACGGAAGGAGGAAAAAATGGAAAAGAATAAAGGAATGGAGAAGATAAAAAGAGAGAACAAGAAAAAGGAAAGGAAAATAAGAATTGGAAAGGGGAAGAAAATTATTTTGCACATCTACAAAAATTCCTCTCTGCAAGCTAGTCACTTTCACATGAATTATCCTATTTAATATTTATAAAAATCTTGTGAGGCTATAAACAAATATAATGGCTAGGGCTCAACCCAGCCCTAACTACTTTTTTTTTCTTTATTCATCACTTTATGCAGTTTCTTAAAAGGAATAAAATTAGTATAATGTGTTAAACCTATTTTAAATATTCCGTATGCAAAATAAATGTAGTTGATATTAATGATAATGTACTGGTATACTTGTAAACATAGTGTCATAAAATTTTCTTCTGAAAATAAAATGTCTAGTTTAATACATTAGAAATATAGTAACTAAGGTGAGCTCTAAGAAGAAACTAAAATTTTTAAAGTGGCATCTTTAATTCCTAATAATTGTCATTTATATTATCCCTCAAAATCTAGGGAATGGAATTTTTTTATACTAGACAAATAGCATAAATACTAATTAAATTTATTTCACCAATTGTTTTGCTTCAGGGTAGTGAAAATCGGGAGACTATGAATAAAGTAGAATACAGTAAAGGGATCAACAAAAAACAGTTCTTAAATTACATCATTATAGGTTGATATAAAATAAAAAGTTATTTTATAGAGCTCAAGCCCAACAAATTTATGTTCCCATTTATTATCACATTTATATTACCAGGAGGCTGGTCAGGGTACACATTATACTTTCCATTCTGATAAAATTTATAGAAAATCTTTCTGTCATTCAGCACTTTTACAGATGGCCCATTAAAAAATGCCTTGTTCACTTTCTGAGAACCCTGTATTTCAAAAGCATGTCTAATGTAGATTTTCTGAGAGTATGTGTAAGGGTCAAGTCTTAGGATCTTCTTGGATGTGTGATTTGGCAAATAGAGAAGTGAATGTGGCAAATAAAAGAGCAAATCCAGTTCAGTCTCAGCTAT